GTCCCAGCAGTTTAACCCACGCTACGGAGGGACGGAGGGACCGTGGGCGGGGTAGAGGCGTCCCTGCTACCCCCCCAGGTCCGGAGGAGCCTTCCTGGAAGGGTCCGGAGAGGCAATCTCTGACGTGGCCACGTTTTACAGACAGAGATGCCGGCGGGCAGGCGGCCACCTGGGACCGGCACGGGGCGGGGCGGGACTCACCGCTGATGCTGCCAAACTGGGAAAAGTTGCTGAGCTGAAGAGATGAGGTCCTGATGGGTCCAGAGCCATGAGGAGGGAGAGGCGGGCACCCCGAGCCGTGGAGGGACGGCCAAATAGAGTGCTCGCGCCACCCGGGTTTCAAGGCACCAAATGTTAGGTTAGGTGGCTCAGGTGGCGGCGCAAGAAATAGAGTCCAGTGAATCAGAAAAGAAAGGAAAGGAAAAGGTTTATTCTGCATCCCCGGGAGACCCACGTACCCCCAGGACAGGGCACATGGATTCACGCCAACAGGGAGGGGGGCGCTTTTTTTATACTGCAGTTGGGTGAGGGGCGGGGACATGAGCTGAGGAATTCTCTGCCGCAGGGGTTGGGCGGGGGTATTCTGAAGAAGTCCCTATCTGTGTGGGGGTATGTGGATTCAGGGAGAAGAAGCTGGTATCTGTGTCTGGCACATTGATCTGTGAGAAATTCCAGGGGAAGTCCATTGTCTCATCACATGTCTGCATGTATCTGAACCTGGGCTCTCTCCGACCTAACAAATACTATATCTAGTCACTATAGAGTGAAAGAAAGATTCAAAACTCTAAGATGTTGGATGAACTAAAAAAACAAAATAAAATGATATGTTAGGTAAATGAAAAATATCTTGGTTGCCTGTGTGGTTTTAATTATTATTCATTAGGAGGAAAAAGTGTTAGAAAACATAGGCTAAGTAAAAGAATTACATCATACCGTAACCGGTTTGGCTCAGTGGATAGAGCGTCGGCCTGCAGACTGAAGGATCCCAGGTTCGATTCTGGTCAAGGGCATGTACCTGGGTTGCGGGCACATCCCCAGTAGGAGATGTGCAGGAGGCAGCTGATCGATGTTTCTCTCTCATCGATGTTTCTAACTCTCTATCCCTCTTCCTTCCTCTCTGTAAAAAAATCAATACAATATATATATATATATATATATATATATATATATATATATATGAATTACCTCATAATTTGATGCCTGGCTTATATTTATTGAATGTAGAATAGATTATTTGAGGTAAATATCAAACAAAATAATCACTAAATCACAAGTCTGAGTAATGCCAAATTTCAGTGTTTATAATATAAACATGTTTTTTGAATGATAATAATATCCAAAGGAATCTTGAAAGGAAACTTGTCTGAGACACCAAATTAAAATTTAAGGGGAACTTTATGAGCTTTCTCCTGTTGATTTTCCTTTGAATGGAGGACTATTGACAGAGTTAATAGTGATACTCAGAATGAGGTCGTTCTCTCAGGAAGTTCAGTAGGCAATAATGTAGTTATGGTTTTTGTTTTCCCGTGTTTTTCTTCCCCCTGCTCTCTGATGGCTCCTTTCTGAATCGTTTCAGAGGCTAATGTCACAATTGCTCTGAACCCAATTAGGAAGGTAAGGGAATAAATCATATCCTATTTTTAGCCTTTTATTTGATATCTTTGATTTTTTGATACCTGATTTTTAAGTGAACTCTCCAGAGAAACCTGCTTATATTACTAAGTATGCCTGCCCAGACTTAAGCCTCTTCACAGTTAGTGTAATATGTATTCACATTCGTTATAGGAGATGGGTAGGGGAGAGGAGTGAACTATTTTATTTTTTGTTTTCGTCCTCACTGTTTTAAAAAAATTATTTAAAAACCATCAACTTAGCATTAACCATCATGGCATGCTTCTCTACCTGTGTGGGCATGAAATGAAGCTTTCCATTGTCTTCTCCCACCAAACAATTTTGTGTTTTCCAGGCCAGTCTCAAGAAATCATCATTTATAAAATAAACTGTGATAAAAGAAAATGTGACTTTAAAAAGATCTTATAGGTTTTATTTCCAGTTCTCCTTTATTTTTTAAATGGAGTCATCTCCTATACTTATTACTATTTTGAAAATAATACTTCATAATGTGCTGATGGTATTAGCAATCTAAGAGGAGGATGGGAAGGAAATGAACATTTGTTGAGTACCTATTTTTTTCTGGGAGTCATACTTTATAGAAACTATCTTGCTAAATCCTCAATACAGCCCTGGAGAGGTATTAGTATATCAATTTTTGGAACAGAAAATCAAGGTTCAGTGACTTGCTACAAGTCTCATGGCAGATGGTAGAAGAGCTGAGAGTCCCCCTAACATTGGGCAATGCAACATACATGCATAGTATGTGTATTTCTGGAAAATACAATTTTTTTTGCATGGCACTTAAATATTCTACTTCTTATACTGACATACTTTGAGTTTACTGTGTCACCACAGGTTTTAAGTTGAGACCATCAGAGGTAATCACAGCATCAGGGAGGATTTAAATTTATTTTAAACTAGAGGCCTGATGCACAAAATTCGTGCCAAAGTAGACCTTCCTTTCCCCAGCTGCCAGCACCAGCTCCCTCTGTCACCTGGGACCCGGGTTTCCCTCCAGCCACCAGCAGGCACCCAGGACCTGGGCTTCCCTCACAGCCCTGGCTTCGTCTGGAAGGTCATCAGGAAGGATGTCTGGTCTAATTAGCATATAATGCTTTTATTATTATAGATTAGTAGCAGCATATGTTTGTCAGCATGTTAGCATCATATTCTTGTACCCAGATTATAGCAGGGTTATCACTGATCTGCATTTATATTTACTTAAAGGCAAATATTCTTGCTGTTCTGGGTCAAAAATATTTTTTAAGTGTACTTGAGTTCTCATGTGAAATACTTAAAGCTTTTTTTAGGTTAAGCGTATTTGTAAATGGAAAAGGCATGGAAACTGTGACTCCATTCTGCCCTCTAGAGCTATGCCAACATGTCTCGGTTAGAGGTAATGTGAGTTAAAATTAATGTTCTCTTACATAGAGTTATCGAAACTCAGGGCAAAACTAGCACTGAATATAATCCGTTAAATATATATATATATATATATATATATATATATATATATATATATATATATGAGAGAGAGAGGAGAGTATCCTATTAGAAGTTCATTTCAAATCTTTCTATTGTATTTTAACCTCTATAGAGAATTCCAGGCACTTTCATTATGGTTTGTTTTGTATTCAGTTATTAATTCATTCCCAATCTCATTAAAAAGAGAGAGAGAGAGGTAATTATATCAAGACACTAAGCTAAAACTGTTTCATTTTTCTTTTTCTCTTCCTAAATTATACTGGATATACTACTAAATTCCTTAGTAGAGACTGGGTTATTCATATTTGGAGAAATAGAGATATGGAAAATGAAATTACAGCTTACTAAGTTTAGTGAGAAACAGAGTAGACTAGTCTTGTCTACCAGATATTTTAGTAATATTCCATAAGAAATTCCAAGCTTGAGAAAATGTTGATTCATGCTCTTCAGCAAGTTGCATAGATTCAGGTGCCAGGAACTTGTAAACACAATGGCAGTGTTTGCTTAAATTTAGAGGTAATTATTATGATAAGAAAAGCAAATATACAATTCTGCCTTGAGAGGTCTAGGGAGACTCAATTTCAAAAGAATCTTCAACCTAATCAATATACTTACTCACTGAAACATCTAATGGGGTTCATGACAAAGGTATTCAAGGAGGTTAAAAATAATCCAAATATTTTTGACAACATTAATAAACCACAGCACAAATTCTATCATAAACTACTGCAGAACACTTTTGGGTGTTACTACTCACTTGGCATTATCATCAATTATAAATAAAAACAAGTAACTTTTATAAAGGTCACTTCAAATGCAAGTTTTAGCATCTCATCAGAACTATGTGCAAGTATAAATAAAGACCATCATATTAAATATATACACATACATGTATACATACACAATCATATATGCACATGAAATCTTTATTATTTAGAAAAGAAACCCAGTAAGCATAAGGATCTCAGGTAAATTTAGAACTTACTTATACATGCAACAGCTCTGGCCAATGCATTACATCAATTGATTTATAGATTCAGATTAAGCACATTAGTCATGTATCAGAATCAAAGCACACAAACTGCATTTTATTTTATAGTATCACTAGAGGTTGGTGCATGGAATTATGCACTGGTGGGGGGCATGGCCTGCGGGGATCGGCCCGCTGTGGGAGCACCGCTCATCCCAGTTAGCCAAGCGGCGCTCCCACTGTGGGATCACACTGACCACCAGGGGGCAGCTCTTGCATTGAGCCTCTGCCCCCTGGTGGTCAGTGTGCGTCATAGCGACTGGTTGACTGGTTGTTCTGGTCATTCTGCAGTTCAGTTGCTGGGCTTTTATTATATAGGATGTTTTCTGGAAGGAAGTCATAAATTAATCTTTTATTATAGACTCAATCATATTTATACACACCAAGGAAATGACCATGGGCAAGTTATCTAACTTCTCTGAGCCTTGTTATCATATATCTAAAATTGAAATGATAAAGTTTTAAAGTTTACCTCATAAGGTTGTTGTGGTGGTAAAATGAGATAATGTGTGTAAAAAGCACTTGGCAAAACTCCAGGGCCACCATAGATATTATTATCGTTGTTACCACTTTTTGTTAAGGTGACAATCACTTCATACATGAAGAGTTAGTTCCTGATTAACAGGTTTTTCTATCAAGTTTTCTTTGGGCATGGTGCACAATGTCTGAGGCCTGGTACCTTGAACTTAGTAAAATTAGGCAATATTATCACTGCCATCCACAATATCTCTATTTTGCCATTGTTATATTCTAGCCAAGTGCATGTCAGTGGAATAACAGACACAGAAGAAGAAAGAATTAAAGAAGCTGCTGCTTATATAGCCCAGAGGAATCTTCTTGCTAGTGAAGAAGGAATCACAACATCCAAGCAGTCCACAGTATCGAAACAGTCTCTGTCCACTCTCCACCAGGAGGAAGTTTTTGAGAAGAAGTCAAGAAAAGTTGCAATTCGAGAAAAGGCAGAACGTCTGTCACTAAGAAAAACAGTAAGAAAAGACAAGTTAATATAGCTTACAAAAGTAGAAATGCATGTAGTGTGTGTGTGTGTGTGTGTGTGTGTGTGTGTGTGTGTGTGTATAGATAGAAATTGACTTGTTTCAAATGAAGAGATATGTGATCTTGTGGAGAAACAAAGAAACTAAGAAGAAGACATCAAAATATATAGGTCAGAGAAAGACAAACAATCATTTTAAACTCCATGTAATTTTAGGTTCTACAGAAATTAAGGTTTTAAAGAATCTTAAGAAGTCCACCTTCGGGAAATAAAATATGTACCTTGGCCTTAAAAATGTTAAAAATTAAATGGTGTAGCTTTTAAAATTTTTCTTATTTTTTAAATCATTGTTTATTTTTCAATTACTGTTGACATGCAACATTATATTAGTTTCAGGTGTACACCCTAGTGATTAGACATTGTATAATTTATTAAGTGTTCATCTCACTAAATCTCATACCCATCTGATACCATACATAATTATTAGAGTATTATTGAGTCTGTTCCCTATGTTGTACTTTACATCCCATGACTATTTTTGTAACTTCCTAATCCCTTTCACCCATTCCCAGAACCCCAGCCCCCCAAATCTGACAACTATCAAAATGTTCTCTGTATCTATGAGTCTGTTTCTGTTCTGCTTATGCATTTATTTTGAGTTTTAGATTTGGTTGTTGATATATATATTTATTGTCTTTTATTATCCATTTAAAAATATTTTTATTAATTTCAGAGAGGAAGGGAGAGGAAGAGAGAGTTAGAAACATTAATGATGAGAGAGAATCATTGATCGCTGCCTCCTGCATGCCCCCCACTGGGGATCAAGTCCACAATCTGGGCATGTGTCCTTGACCAGAATCAAACCTGGGACCCTTCAGTCCACAGGCTGACACTTTATCCACTGAGCTAAACCAGCTAGGGTCATATTTTTTAAAATTTATTTTCTTCTTCTTAAAGAACACTCTAGTATTTCATTTAATACTGGTTTGGTGGTGATGAACTCTAGCTTTTTCTTGTTTGGGAAGCTCTTTATCTGTCCTTTAATTCTAAATTATAGCTTTGCTGGGTAGAATAATCTTGGTTGTAGGTTCTTGCTTTTCATCACTTTGAATATTTCATGCCAGTCCCTTCTGGCCTGCAAAGTTTCTGTTGAGAAATTGAGTACCACATTAACCTATACTGCCATCTTTTTTTTTTTTTCATTTCTTATAAATTTATTACATAATATTATAATAATTATTATCAATAATAATAATAATATAAGAAACATAGATCTCTGTGGGGTGTATCACAACATCAGGGTCAGGAGGCCTCAGGACTGGAGCAGGGGGAAAGCCCCTGGATGGAACTCCATACAAAAGGAGGGTGAAGCGGTACTGACCCTGTAAAGTTAAAAACCCAAATTGAACGGAACCAAAAACCCACAGGTGAGTGTGAGACCGAGTGTGTATGCGGCAGCCTGTTACAGTCACGGCTGCTGTGTGATCTGGTCTGTTAGTGAAGGGTGGCTGGATGTGACTCTGCCCAGGGAATGAGACCGCTGGGCTGGGCTGGGGTGGGCAGGCACAGACTGGCGTGCCAGGCCCCTGGGCTGTGAAAACGTCTGTTTTCTGGGTTTTTTTTATTTTTATTTAAAAAAGCTAGAAATATAAACAGAAACTTGTGAGTAACATGGATGGAGCTTAGTCCAGACGCCAAACCCTAGGTTTAAAAACGTCCCAGGGCCCCCCCACCCCACAGGTCATTGCTGAGTGTGGGGAGTCACAGTAAGGGGGGCTGGGATGCCCTCAGGGGTCTCTGCTTCTCCCCAGGGTTTACGGTGGCCTGACTCTAGGGTTCTCCCTAGGATCCCCCAGAAGCCTGGTAGGGGGTATACTGCCATCTTGACCAGAAGTCTTAAATGGTGTATTTATTTTAAAAAGGAGCAAGGAATATGCATTTGATTTAAATATAAAAATCAGGCTCCAAATGGAAAAATTGTAATTTTGGTTTCTGCTTGTTATTTTTATTTTTGGCTGCTATTTTTTTCTTGCTTGTTATTTTTATAGTACAAGTTACTTTGATTTTATAATACTTTGATTTTTTTCCAGTTAGAAGAAACTGAGGCATTTCATAGAAAAATGAATGAAGATCATCTTCTCCATGCTCCTGAGTTTGTCATCAAACCTCGTTCCCACACTGTTTGGGAGAAGGAAAATGTAAAATTACACTGTTCGGTATCTGGCTGGCCAGCACCTCGTGTCACATGGTATGTTATCTTTTTGAAAACTACTCCTATAATCAACTATACAAAATTAATTTAACCTCTAGTGAAAATATTCAGCATTATAAATATGCAGGAGTCATTGAAAGCATTTACAAATTTGTATAGATTTTTAAAATAGTGAAGAAAGTATACTGAGATTAATATTTTATGTATGGGAAAACAGTATTGCATACATTATGATACATTATAATTATATTAGAGGCCCAGCGCATGAAATCGTGAGCCGGGGGTGGGGGGATGTTGGGGGGGCAGGGACCGAGAGGTGGTCAATGCACCTCATGGCGACTGGTGGAGCGGTCGCTCCGGTTGTTACACTTATGGTCCCTGGCCTTTTATTATGTAGAATTATACGATGGGTCTTTATCTTATTAAAGTGTTAAAATTTTATCAACATATTTACATACAAAGAAAATGTATATCTATAATTTCTATAGATCATAAAAATTTGTTCTCATTAAATATAGGTATCATTTTGTGATGACAAGCAATACTGCCTTTTAAAAAATAATTAAAACCCAAAGGGTTCCAACTCTACTAATCATCTGAGCTGAGGTTCAATGTGTTTTTTCTTTTTTTTAAAAATATATTTTATTGATTTTTCACAGAGAGGAAGAGAGAGATATAGAGAGAGTCAGAAACATCGATGAGAGAGAAACATCAATCAGCTGCCTCTTGCACATCCCCCACCGGGGATGTGCCCGAAAACCAGGTACATGCCCTTGACCGGAATCGAACCCAGGACCTCTCAGTCCACAGGCTGACGCTCTATCCACTGAGCCAAACCGGTTTCGGCCAATGTGTTTTTTCTAAAGCCAAGAAAAAAAGAGGGGATTTGATGGGAAATATTACTTAATATGGGGCCTGAAGGAATCTTCTTTCCATAAAGAATAAATGCTCCCTTTCCCCTTCCATTATATATGGTAGCTCCTCGCCCCCCCAAAATTATACACACTATGAAAGATTACAAAGTCAGTATTTGTTAACATACAGTTCATTTTCAAATTTTAAAAGAATCTACAGAAATGGGTAACTTTTTTTGTCAATGCCTGTTTTCAAACTGATAACCATTTTGGTCCAGGCACTGCTGATAATGTGTGCCCTCAGTTCATCAACTATTGCTTGTTTTGTACTGTAAACTCTATCCTTTTGTAACCCCATAAAAAAGTCTAGTGGATAAATTTACTTTGTTTAAAGCTTAGTCTGGCTTCACCCATTATTTCAAATCAGTTAAACCTGAAAAGGAGCGAAAATTGAGTTATCAGCTGTTAAAGTATGTATGCATTTATGGGGGGGACACCCTGTGACCCCAAAAATGTATGCACACTTTGAATAATTATAAATGTATACATACTTTGAAAATGTTTGTACTTCAACTGCATTTTCAAACTTCTAGTAGCATTTTAGGATGAATTTCTTTTGTTCAAAGCTTAGTCTGGCTGAAAAGAGAGAAACATCAATTGAGCTATCAGCTGTTAAAGTGTGTATACATGTTTTGGACATCCTGTATATCCTATTGCAATTGTCAGTGATATTTTGATTCCAAAGCTCAGAATTTTCTTATTATGTGTCATGCATATCTGCCACAGAGAGCAGAAGTATGAAAATGATTGAGCCAACTCAAAAGGCATTTTTCACTTTATTCTCTGACATGGATATTTTGCATGCTATTTTTTTTTTATCAGGAGTGGTGGTAAATGCACCCTATATTGCAGTATAAACACTACACTGAAGGACATTGTCACTTGCAGAGTCCCTGCTTCCTTCTCCTTTTTTCCCATGATCTCTAATGTTGGTCAGACACGTGGCTAGCATAAATGGAGGTAGCTGACAAGATAGATCCAGTTACCTGACTAAGGTTATTCTTAAGAAGCAGGTGGAGAGTTTTTAAAAATTCACCTATGATGTCAACCTGCCTTTAATAACATTGGCTTTACTTGCAATTTTTCTTACATGTAAACTTTTTTCAGGGTTCTTGAGTTTGAAAATCAAAGAATGAAAATCCAAGCCATATATATTGTCAAGGCAAATAATTTATAATACTCAAAGGTGAGAAATGTAGGAACATATTTCAATGCAAATGAAGTTTAAAAAAATAAATTTATAAACTTTAAAGTATAAAAGTATACTATAGTAAGCTAAGAATCAACTTATCTTTGCCTCATCTCTCTCTGTGACTACAGAGTTGCATAATTTGGCCTATTAAAGGGATATTTCCTCTTAAAAAATGGATGACATGTCACCTAAAAAAAAAAAAAAAAATCCAGACTTTCCTATAGAAATGCATGAAGGATAACAAATTTCCAGCTCCGAGAAATATTATTTGGTCATTAAAAACATTTCTTTCATAAAATTCAAATGTACTACTAATAAACAAATAATCAGAGTCCTTAGTTAGGTACATATATTTATTACATAGCATCCTATCTCTGCTTTAAAAAAATTAGAGTTAAAGGTGATTTTTAAAAGTAAAATCTGGCAGGTAAATATTCATTTCTTAAGCATTTATTTATTCTACTAAATTCACAGCAACTAGAGTACAAGCATGCAAGTGGACATTGATGGTGTTAATTATTAAACTGGAGTTACAGGCTCCACAAAGGCAGAGCTCAGATATGTCAAAGATTAAACTTCTTATATTCTGTTTTGTTGGCTGGAAAATTAGTGATTTAAAAACAAAATATTTATATAAAAAATAAAAACTCTCCAGAAAAATTTGAGATGACCAAAATGTCAACTCTTAGAATTCCAGTTAAATTGAAAAATAGAAATACTGTCAATTTTTAGTTATCCTCACTAATGGAATTGAGCAGTAGTATGATTTTTTACTAAAATTTTATATCTGGCTTTGGAATATTCATTTCCTCAACATGTGAATTTTATGTCCAACAGGCTCCTTTTAAACAAAAACCAAGGGACAGAGGCAAGATTTGCCTCAGGAATGATTGGGAGACTGTTAATTTACTGGAAAAGCCTTCCCTAGTTTCTACACTCCCTTTAGTGCTTGGAGAAGACAACTTCATTCTTACCCCAGATTCTTCCAGTAGGGACAGATCAGAGCATTTCACAGAAAGTCCTGTTGTCCTGCAAGTCAAAGAAAAAGTAAATATTAAAACAAAAGAAGTAGTGGACCACCAAGAAAATATTTAACCATACTTCTGAGAGCAAGATTTTCTCCTTCTGAAAGCTGAAATTTGGACAATCAGCTAGTAGATAACTGAAAATTGCCTATGGCAATAAAAAAGGTCAGATCCAGTCTTTGTGGGGCATGACGTTTATTCATTTTGGGGGTAGTCTTTACAAAGAAGAACATAAAGTTAGTGTAAATTAGACATACAGTCTTGTGGAGACCCGTGCTAGTGGGAGACCCTACAACTTCAGCCTTATTGGCTCCTAGGTAGATAAATCCACTTCTGGAAGTAAACTTCTGTGTGGGATTAGTATACATTCCTGCATATGTTGTCTATTAATGAAGCTCTGACTTACTTTGCAATGCTGCTAATGCAATCTTCAGAAGTCATCCATCCCCTCAATGAGCAGGGAATCCACAGCCCAAGCAAGAACCCAGGTGGTTGGTGATTTCTTTGCTGGCATTTATGCTTTTGTGGTTCCCAACTTCAGCTTCCTGGGTCTGACACTGAAGACAAGTATGAAAGAAATAATTGAGAATGACCTTCCTGAATAGAAGGAGGTAAATAATAGGAGTAAGTGTGTGATAATGCTTCACGTAGTCATGCTGCCTCTGTTTGCAACAGTTAGTCCTTAGCCACGTATTTCAAAGGCATGTGTGCCTGGTGCCTGGCTCCCTTAGAGCCCTTTCCAAACTTGATTCCAAGTTTCCACTAGGCACCCTCGGGTCATGGAAATCCCTGAGGTCTAGCAAATGTTACGCACATGCAGCAGCTGCTCTTTGGTCAGTCCCACGTTGTTTTTCTTAATAGGCAATATTTATGTAATAACTTGTATGGCAGGCTATATATTGGTTTAAAAGGTAGGGGAACATTTATATCTGTATAGTTAGGAAACTCCATATCCACAGTTTCACACCCACGGATTCAACCAGCTGCAGAGTGAAAATATTCCGGAGAAAAAATCCCAGAAAGTTCTAAAAAGTAGAACTTGAATTTGAAACATGCCAAGCACTATGCTGAATCCACACAAATGAAATTATGTGTAGACATGCTTTATTGTAGCCTATTTGCAAATATAGGTTACATGCAAATATTACACAATTTTATATAAGGGACTTGAGTATCTGTGGATTTTGGTATCTTCAGGTGTCCTGGAACCAACCTCCTGTGCATACCAAGGGAAAATTGTATTTGTTTTATTTGTGTAAAGGAACTCTGGAAGAAGAGGTAAAAATGGTTGAGAGTTGATCTATATGAACCAGGAGGTCATGATTCAGTTCCCAGTCAGGGAACATTCTCAGATTGGAGGCTTAATCCCCGATGGGGGATGTGCAGGAGGCAACCAATCAATGATTCTCTTTCATCATTGATGTTTCTATCTATCTCTCTCTCCTCTCTGAAAGCAATAAAAAATATATTTTAAAAAAACCACGAATCTAAGGGGAGCATTATATAAGCTGTGGGAAGGAGCTGGGTAGAAGGCAGACAAGTGTGAGGAAGGAGACTGTTCCCTGTGCACCCTTATACTTTCTAGTTCTTGGACCATACAAATGTATTGCTTAGTCATTTTTTTTTTAAATATATTTTATTGATTTTTTACAGAAAGGAAGGGAGAGAGATAGAGAGTTAGAAACATCGATGAGAGAGAAACATCGATCAGCCGCTTCCTGCACATCTCCTACTGGGGATGTGCCCGCAACCCAGGTACATGCCCTTGACCGGAATCGAACCTGAGACCTTTCAGTCCGCAGGCCGATGCTCTATCCACTGAGCCAAACCGGTTTCGGCTGCTTAGTCATTTTTAAAAATTATATGAATTACCGGAAAAGAGAACAATTCTCTTTAAAAGAAGGAAAGAATTGAGTTAAAAAGAACCAGATTTCATTGGGTTTCCAACCCAAAGTCTAGATCAATTTTATCAATGAGAATATGGATTGTAGTCTGCAAGGAGATTCACACAAACTCACTGGAGCATGTGTTGGTATTGGTGAGCAGCATTCTTTCACTCATTCAACACCTTTTTGGATCTATATGTGGATACTGGCTAGATCCTTAAGCGAGACACTTAAAAAATACATGTTTGGAATTCTTCACATTGCTCCTAAGGTCATTGGCAAATAGATACTTAAAGAAATTGTCATTAGGCATGATAATAATTTAAAATGTAGGAATGAAATAATATGATAAATATATCGTAGAAAAATGGAGATTTGGAAAGGTCTTATTCTATTTTTGCATATTATGAGAATTTATAAATTCTATTATAGACTATGTATTGAATTTGTTTATAAGAGTAGAGTTATTCACAATATATTTAAATTTAGTATTTGCTGCCATATTATCTTAGGAAAACAACCTACATTTAGAATAGTTAAAATTATTTGTAATTTTTAATTACCTCCCAACATAAGGGTTGGGGTTTTATTTTAGATTTTTTTCTATTTATATAATTTCAAAATCTATCCAAATGGGATAGAGCTCTCTCAGCTCATTGGTTTTTAAATTGGGTAATAACTATTTACTCAAAACATAAGGTTGAATTCTAAGCAACAGTCACCTTTGTGATGGGATTCAATATGATAAATACCATTTTGCATGCATTATTTGCTGATAGAAAAAAATTAGGCTGAAGCCTTTTTACTTGACGATGTTTTACACCACCAAAGACCTTCCATTGTTACCCTTGTATCCAAATAGACATTTGTTTAGGGGCATTTATTGTGTGTTTTACACACATAAACTAAGAGTTTATTCTAGAAATAGTTATAGTAAAATGCAAACTCATTAATTGTTTATAGAAGCTACATGAAAATGATAAGTGAAATAGTATACATCTGAATATTCATGAGAATTTCAGAAACCTCTTGACAAAATATCCCAGGTTGTAGATTGCTCTCCAGAATTAGCTGATGACTGGCCAGTTTGGAATTTCACTTTCCAGAAATAACAAGCTGTGAAGCATTTACTAATATAGAGTAGGCCAAACATCCTTCCTTTCTTTTCTGACTTAATACTGAAGATAGCCAATGTCAAGTGACCCAGAATTTGAATGCCTCAGTGACTTCCTTGGAAAACAGAGTTGAATTGCTTTTTACTCCTTGCCTGGTGATTTAAAACAGACGTTTCTTACAGTGACAGCTGGTGTACCAGAGGAAAAACGAGGAAGACCCTCAAATGGTGTGTGTGTGTGTGTGTGTGTGTGTGTGTGTTTTAAACTGATTTCATGTGCCATGTGGTCAACTTAAAAAAGTCGTCAGGTGCTAAGTTGGTTAGTACTGGAGAGCAAGGAAGGGGAAACAACCCTGGGAGCTGCAAAATCCTGTTCTAACTCAAACTTTATGGAGATATGAACAACATTTTTGTCAGAAGCCAAATTGAGTGTCACCCAGTTGTTGGGTCAAGTATCACATACACAGCCTTTGGTGTCATATTTCTCTTCTTATGCTAAAAGGAACTACTGAAAACACCCAACACATGAAAACTGAGAAAGAGGGAGCTTTGAGTCAAGTGTGAAATTACCTAACCTAATTCAATCAAAAGAACATGTCAATTAACAGATTCTACCCTGTCATTCGTCAAAATGAGGAATGTTTGAAATTAGAAGCCGCCAGCAGAGTTCTTGTTACAAGCCACCTGATCAGATAGTCCTGTCTGCCTGGGACCCTGTGGGGAGGCAGCTGTCTGAAGCTGCTTCTGGGCTAGCAGGAAGCAGCTGGCAATGTGTTCTATGGGTTGGGTAGGTTATGCCGCTACAACTGCCACACAACGGCAATTCTTTTTCCACTTAAAAAAATTTTCATTTTCCAATTACAGTTAATGTATAATATTAAATTAGTTTCAGGTGTTCAACCCAGTAATTAGACATTTACATAGCTTATGAAGTGATCACCCTGATAAATCTAGTACCCACCTGACATCATACATGCAACTGCAATTCTTAAGCCAGTCCAGCCCTCTCATTTTAGATATGAGAAAACCGAGACACAAAGAGCCTCAACTTACTGTCCTCATATGCACTTATTTTAAATTATCCATACCAGAACTCTGTTTCTTTGGCCCAAAATTATAAAGCTATAATTAGTCTATTGCATTACACAATAATTCCATTCAATTTAACAAACACAGAGTGCCAAATATGTGCCCATGACTCAAATTCCCATGAGAGTGGGAATAGAAGTAAATATGGATCAGACACAGTCCCCATCATCAAGGTACTGGGAGCTTAGTAGGAGTGATACATAGTTAGCAATAATTTAATATGTTATACCTTGCAATTTGATCCAAATAACACTGATGCAGAGAGGCAGGAAAAGGTAATATTGTGCGGGGTTTTAGGGAGGAGTTTATTGAAGTGGCATTGGATATGAACCTTGAAGGATGAGTTGGGATTTTGCTAAATGGAGAAGGAGAATGATAACATTTTAAAAAGTATAGAAAATGGTCCTCGTGGGGTGGCTCATTTGGTCATCCCATGCACCAAAAGGTTCGATTCCTGGTCAGAGCACACACCTAGGTTGTGGGTTAGATCCCCAGTCAAGGCACATAGGGAGGCAACCAGTAGATGTTTCTCACCCACATCGATGTTTCTCTCTTTCTCTCTCTTCCCCCCTTCCTCTCTCTCTAAATTCAATAAAAAGATATCCTCAGGTGAGGATTAAAAATAAAATAAAGCATAAATACTAAGTATAGAAAATGGATTTCTGTTTTAGGGGCATAGAGCCTGTGTGTACACACGTGTGTGTGAGTGTGCAAGTTGGCAAGGGGAAGGAACTAATTGAAGATTATTTTCTTTCCCTTTTCACCACTTTCCCTAATCCCAAACCTCTTTATAACCATTTCCAGAAGTCTAAAGAAATAAAATGCAGCTAAATAGAGAAAATGGAAGCATCACATGTTGTCAGGAGCCGGACTGACTGTGTTCAAATCCCAACTCTGCTGTTTCTAGCTGTGTGAACTGGGATAAGTTATTTAGCTTCTTCATGCCGGGACTTCTTCATCTGGAAAATGATGTTAGAAACAGTTCTGCCTCATGTGGTTGCTGTGAGGGCTGGATTTACAATTTATTCATAAAGCACTTAGAACCTTGCCTGGCTCTACTAAATGTTCTGTGTCGGTTGTGGTTATTCGTGTTATTTATGTTATCTGTGCACATAAAGTGGCACGTTTGAAAGGAAAACAAGTGAAATCTAGCTCCTCTTTTGGGAGGAAATGGCTTAAGCAGGAGAGACTGGTTTGGCACCGTAGCCACCGGCTATTCAGACCTTGAGGACACGGTAGAGAATCAAGGTGCCACTTCTAGACTTGGGAGACAGTGTCTCAGAAAGGACCCTTCCATGTAACCTCTCTCTCTGAGGTCTGAGAGGCTTAACTAGGGGTGGGACAGTCAGAAAAGGGGAATCCTTCAGCTTATATTTGTCAGATTTTTTTTCATGATTATTATTTTAACTTCTTCCAAGCCAAGAGCCATGCTTGCTTATGAGTGAATAAAACACTTAAATATAATGAGCTTTCAATACAACTGATATTGTTTTTTCACAACATGCAAGAATGTTAGTAGGAAGAATGTTTTACTTTCATCCTACATAGACAGCCAACAATAAAACC